TGACTTGTAACTGTATCTTAACACAACGTAAAAATTTTTTTTACTATGATTCTCATTACCTCATACGTGGTTATGTTAAAATAACGCACATTTACTGTACGTTTACCTTGGTAAAAAAATCATGATATAGCGGTAGATGTTTGTCCAACATAACGGCTATTTTAAAATTGTAGAACTGGCTTAAGTATAGCGATAGCGTGTAAAATTATACCCCGTATACTCAAATATATTTGAAAATTGCATCCCCGAAGAAAAGTATATAGTAGTTAGTCTCGAAATAACACCTCGTGCGCGTCCCGAGATAATGCGCATCTCATGATCACAATCAAATTTTGAAATTGACCCGTTATCTCGAATAATGCACATGGCGTATTCGAAATAACGCGTAGATGCTCGTTATTTTTAGAATTTACGATATGTGTATTTCTGTTTATGAAATGTAAATGAAACAAGTATTCTATGAAATTCTAACTATCTGGATATAACATTCTCTTTAGATTTTTTTTTTTTTTTTTACTAAATTCCCAGTGTCAATTATTATGTATAATACGCGAAAAGTTTAATTTTATCTATTTTTTAATTTTCACATCATACAATATTATACAAATTTCTTTAGTAGAAACGTCTTTTCTGCATTGAAAGTCCAACAATGTAAATTATAATTGCCAATATTCCAATCCATGATGAATATAAAAACATTTTAACGGCTCCAAAATGTCCATATAATAATCCTCCAACAATCTGCCCAAGACCTTTTATATAATTAAAAAGAGAATTTGAGAGTTTTTTTTTTTTTTTTTGAAAGATTATGTGTTGCTTTAAATACTGACCTGTAGACAAATTTTCTGTAGCTGCAAGAATACCAAGTGCTGTAGCCCTTAGTCTCGGTGGTGACAGTTGTGATATAATTTCTAAAGATGCTGGTTTTACCAGCCCAAATTCAAGTCCTTGAAGCTATTAAATAATAATTATTATAAGCATTAATAAAATGATCATAAGTTGTTAATAATAGTAATAATAATTCTTATTATTACCATCTCAATTGGGAGAGATAACCAAGGATTCATATTTGTACCAAAAAACGCATATAACGAAGCTCTAAGAGTAGATATAAGTCCTCCTGCTATAATAATATATTCCGGAAACGTAGATTCTAAGATATATTTCCCAAAATAAAAAACTAATATTTCAAGAGTTACTCCTACAAAGGAGCTTAGTCCCAGCAACGTTGCATCAGCTTTAAGGTCCTCTAAATTTTTAAATCATTGTTAGGTTATAAATTACGTATTTAAAAAGTTTTTTTTTTTTTAAAAAAAATAAATAAATAAATAAAACCTGATAAGAACACATAAAGAAATGATGACGTTGATGTTTTCATCGTACGTGTCGAAAGCAACACGAAAAGAAATAATAGCAACCGTGGTTTTGTGATAAGTTTAAGAATTGCTTTCATAAAAGGTGTTTGTTTCGTTACCATGACATTTGTATCTTCAATCTGTGAGAGAGCTTCATTTGAAGTATGTCCGAGTTGATCGAGGTCTATATTGTCTGTAACTAGTTCATCATGATGATCTATCTTAAAATCTCCCAAAGGTGTTAAATATAGAACTAATATAAGAAGACCCATGAAAAATCCAAATGTGAAAAACATGACATAAAGTGATTTGAATCTATCTATTATAAATCCAAGCATAGCTATGAAAATCCCAAAACTTATGGTACCGAAAAGACGCTAAATAACATAATAATATCATGAATATAATTAATGATATTTCAATGTAAATAAGACAGATTACCTGACGTCCAAATTCGGCTGTATCTCTTTTACGATATAACACATCTGTAATTTAACAAAAACATAGATCTATTAGCAGGACTTTTATAATATATAATAAAGTGAAAATACATACTTATAGTTAGATTATCAATCAATGGTGAAGTTCCCCCATCAATCAACGAATAAATAACAAGGTTGATAAAAAGGCCACTAAAGCCAAAGTATTTTCCAGTAAATGGTAAAGACCCATATACAAATATAATACATGTGATACACGAAATCATAATCTTGCGATGTGCATTATGTCTATCTGCAATAATCTTTTAATCGAATATTAACAAATTAATAATTTTTCTTTTTTATCAATTTTATATTAATAATTAGTCAAAATAAGTTGAATCTTACACTCCAACAAGGTGAACTAATGAGTCCCACAAACGGTGTCACGGACAATAGTATGCCGATGTGTGATTTTGGTAATAGAAAAACGGTTGAAAAGAATAAACTAAGAAAAGTACATGAACTATAAGCAGCAAGTAGGAAAAAATAACATAATTTTAATCTAATATAACGAAATGTCAAAAAAGATCGTGAATATTGTAGAGTTTCTTTTTGATTAGGATCGATCAAAGAATAAGCACCTTGAGAAAATGAGAAAGAATTGAAAAATTTTTTGAGGATCGTTTTTGTTTTTATCAAATAGCTCATTTTTTCATACGACAAATTAAACCTAAAACTTCAAGAGCAATAAAAATCATTTATTAAGAATATTCAATAATAACAATACGTACAAAATATGGAAATTGATTAATTACCTTTTATCTACTAGAATGTGCAAATAGAGCTTTGTTAAGGCAAATGTTCTCCCCGAGTTAGTTAAAATATGCAGGTGTGACTACTTTCTATCAATTAGTGCTACAAACTGGATTTATGTACACACGTGCGTACGTGTTTACTTGCGTTTACTTGATGTGTGATACAACAAAGTCATATATCATCAATAGAGTCAATCCAGAAGTCGATTAAATACTTAGATTCAAGTAAAAATCATATTAATGCAATTCAATGCTCATAAAAATTTAGTATAGCATATCTATTCAAATATCATGTGGTTATTGAAGTAGATGTGGAGTCGACTTAAAAAAGCTCGACTCACCAATTTAAAAACCGACTAAACCAAGCTGTTTAACATCCCTAATCATCCCTGTCATCTAATGCGATTTACACAGAACCATAGCGATAGTACTGTAATTTTCAATCCTAACACCTCAAGAATTTTAACTTTGGTTTTTAAGCATCATATACAAGATCTACAATAACTACTCTAGCAAATTAAAATTTTAAGGGCGTCTCAATTAATGGACCAAAGTATGTTGATAATGTGTCGGAAATTAAATTTTAATTAACAAAAAGTATTCTTAATCAATCGAGCCTGGCATTAAGATAAGTAAGGTAGTTTATTACATGAAAGAAAAAAATTTAAGAGTAAAAAATGAACAGTGAGTCTATTATTTCAGTCAAAAAACTTCTATAAAAATTAAAGTGAATAACTGATAATGTATTGCTCAAGGTTTTTATACTTTTATTATGAATTTTCTAGGGATGGAGAAGTTTTTAGAAAAAACAGTTTAAACTAGTTTATAAATAGATTATTTTATAAACCAGGTTTAGGTTTTTAAAACCATTTAAACTAGTTTTAATGTAGTTTGTACTGTATATAAATTATAAATAGTTATATACCCTTGCATAAACTTACATAAACATGCATATTCGTATATATTTATACATATTCATGTATGATCATGCATGATTATATAGCATAGTGGACAATCGTGATAGTACAAGCTTCCAAACTTGAAATTTGTGACTTAGAACCAATCTGTTCAATAAAAGTACAGGGATGATTGATTACATGAAATTAAACAATTGGTCATATCTGTACACATGATAATTGGCCAATTAATTTTTATAAAACCCAAACTAAACCAAATAAAAGCTTTTAGAGTTATAATAACATTCAAAAAAACTTTATTTACTAAATCAAATATATCTCATAATCTAGCAGTTAGAATTTAACAAAACTTGTACCATTTGATTTATTTTATTGAGATGAAGTGAATGGTATAAGTTTTATCAAATCCTATTTACTAGAACATGAGATATTAATAAAATTACAACCCCTTATTTGCTTATATATTTCTTATTTTTAAATATATGCAAATTATTTTTACTTAATCTATTTAATAAATATTACTTTGCTAAATTGTTTCTAAATCAGTTCTATTTGTATTTTAAATTGTAATAATTAAAATAATTAAAGTTTAACTTATAAAATAACAAGTTTATTTGTAATACATATAACTTTAGATTTAAAGTATATAAAAACAAGTTAACTTATCTTTTTTACTTTGCTTTTCATATAAACACTATTTGAGCTTGCTTTGGCATTTTTTTAAAAGTACTAGATCTTAGTTTTGTATTGCTTGTCTTTAGTTTTAATACTAAAATACCTTTGTGTACTCAAATTATAGGCTTAACTATTATAGATCTCTTATGAACTTTGTCTTTAATAAAACTTTTTAAATAGTAAGATTATTTGAGATTAATTTTAATATAAGATGAGGCAGGCAAAGAACTTTCGCTAGCTTTTTTTTTGAAATAAACTTAATTGGTAAGTTTTGAAAAATTACAAGAATACAAAGTACTTTAAACTGTATAAAAAATCAAAAAAAATTTTTTATTAAATTAACTAAGCCACAATATCAATCATTCAAATTCAGGTTTATCTACCATGCTTGATTATATACTATAATATAAGATATATAACTTATATATCTCTGGCTTCTTAGCCAATCAAGACTCAAAAAAATCAGATAATTAGTATTTATATATTAATCTGACCTTTGCCCGAATGTGCACAGCATATATAAGATATTTTTGATCAACTTCAATTAGATTATCTAGTATGTGTTATATTATTTTTGTTGTTTTGGCTTTGACTAATGCTTTTTTTTTTCTTCAGTATATAGTTGAGTCTTTTGTTGCTAGTATTAGTACAGATTTCATAGCTTTTGTTTTTTCAATCTTCTGGATTGTACTTGACAATATTCTTTTTTCTTTTAGATATTTCTCTTTATTGGAGTTTGTGCTTTTGTCTTTTTTAGTTTTTTTGGTTTGCACTTTGCTTTTGTTTTTTCGATTTTAGTTAGTTTTACTTGACTAATACTTTTTTTTTTTTCCAGGTATGTAGTTAAGTTTTCATTTTAAAATCAGTATAAATTTTATTGTCAAAGATTGTGGTTTTCGTCTTTCAATCTCTTTTAACTTTACTTAACTACTACTTTTTTTTCTTCCTAGTATATAGTTGAGTTCTTGTCATTGGTATTGGTATAAATTTACTGTTGGATTGTAACTTTTGCCTTTTTGGCTTCATTTAGGTTGCAATTGGCTATTAGGTATGTAGTTTATTGAAATTTGTACTTTTATTTTTTTAGTTTGTATTTGTATACTTCTTTTTTTTCTTCCAGTATGTATAGTAGTTAGTTTTTTATTTTGAAGTCAATATAAATTTGTTGCTTGAGTTTTACTGACTACCACTTTTTCTTTTCTTCTAAATATATAGTTAAGTTTTTATCATCAGAGTCAGTGTAATTTTATTGTTGGAGTTTGTAGCATTCATCCTTTTAATTTTGTTTGGTTTCGAGTAATTCTCATTAAATTTGTGCTTTTGTTTTTTTAATTTTATTTAGTTTTACTTAACTAATAAATTTTTTTTCTTCTATATATGTAGTTAAGTTTTCACTTTAAAATCATTATAAATTTTGTTGCTGAAGTTTATGGATTTTATCTTTCAATCTCTTTTTGGTTTCACTTAACTACCACTTTGT